GCTGATCCCAATTAAGATGTGGTCTCCACACAAAGTATGCTGGTTTCAAAGACTAAGTATGAGAAAAAGACTGTAAAATGTCTCTGTAATATTTATTACATGTTATGGTGTTAATGTCTGAATATAGTGAAGTAAATAAAGTATATTAAAACCCAAAATAATTCATCCCAGTGGATCACACACAAATAAAGACCTGAAAATAAAAGGCAACTCTTAAAAAGAGAGTCAATGGGAGGAGGAGGGAGATGAGAGGGAAGGGGCGTGAAAATGACCAAAATTCCTCTTGAAGAGCACGAAACTGTCAATTAAAAAATGGAAGAAAAGTTTTTTAAAGTATCACACTATAACCCATAAAAAAGAACATACACCAGCCAGGTATCAATTAAAACTAAACTTCAGTTTTAGACATTTTGAATTATTAGCTGCTTGGAGTCAACTGCACTTGAGTTTTCCAAGGTTTAGAATCCCATGTAGAAATACTGTGGCCCTCAAAACCTCAGGGACTGTAGGAAAGACTGAAACAGTATTCCTAGCTCTCACCCTGTACAAAAACCAACTCAGAATGAAACTAAACCTGGAACTTAAGACCCAAAACTTTGGAAAGTACTGAAGGAAAACACTTCAAGATAGAACACAGGCGATGACTTTCTGACAAAGACTCCAATAGCTCAAGTAATTACAGGAAAATATTGACAGATGTGATTGCAAGAAATGTGAAGGGTTTTGCAGTACATAAGAAACGGTAGAATAAAGAGACAGTCTGGAGAGCGGCGTGGGGCACCTCATCAGACGCTCACCCAATGGGCGACTAAGATACAGAATATAGAAAGAGTTTTAAAAGTTGAACATCAAAAAGAACAGATGAGCTAATAAATAAATGGACAAATGAACAAAACGGGCACTTTTAAATGGCCAAAAGTTCAACAATTTAGCCAACTAAAACTACATGGAGATTCCATGTCACTCCAGTCAAAACAGTTTTCTACAAGAAAGAAGAAAACAGACTAACAACATGGCAAGAATTTGATGGGGGGCTGGAGAGATAGCTCAGAGGTTAAGAGTACTGACTGCTCTTCCAGAGGACCCGGGTTCAATTCCCAGCACCCACATGGTAGCTTGCAACTGTCTGTAATGCCAGCTTCAGGGGACCCAACACCCATGGCAAAAACATCAGTGTACATTAAAATAAATAATTTTTTTTGTTTTTTTTGTTTGTTTGTTTGTTTTTTTTGTTTTTTTTTTTTTCAAGACAGGGTTTCTCTGTGTAGCTTTGCGCCTTTTTCCTGGAACTCACTTGAGATCCGCCTGGCTCTGCCTCCCGAGTGCTGGGATTAAAGACATGCACCACCACCGCCTGGCTTAAAATAAATAAATTTTTAAAAAAGAAAACAAAAAAAGAATTTGATGGGGTTGAAAACACTAATAACATTGATGAGAATATAAATAAGTCCAACTAGTGCAGAATTCAGTGTGGAGATTCCTTGGAATATGGAAAATACAACTTGCACATGATTCAGCTATACCCTTCTCGGTATACACCCAACAGAATCAAGTCAACTTACTCCAGCATTGTCTGTATACCTATGTTTATTGCATCACAACAGCCAAGTTATGGAACCAGCATAGGTGGTTAGACAAGAAATTGAGGTCTATATGCTCAGTGGAATTTTTTCAGCCATAAAGGAGAATAAAACATATCAATTACAGAAAGAAATGGAAACTAGAGATTATTGTGTTAAGCAAAATAAGCTAGGCTCATGAAGATAAATATCTTTCTTTTTTTTTACTTTTTGGTTTTTCTAGACAGGGTTTCTCCATGTAGTTTTGGTACCTGCCCTGGATTTTGCTCTGTAGACCAGGCTGGCCTCAAACTCACAGAGATCGGCCTGGCCTTACCTGGTGGGATTAAAGGTATGTGCTACCATTGCCCAGCCAAAAGTAAATATCTTATGTTTCTCTGACATCTGAAATCTATGGGTTAAAAAAAAAAAAAGACATGAAAGCAAAAGGGGTCTATTGGGGATTTGGAAGGAGAAAGATGGGAAGAAGGCAAGAAAGGATTGTAGTGGGAACGAATATGATCAAATTACATTATACATACGTGTAGAAACAACTGCTTACTTTGTATAAAATGTAATTCATTTTTAAGAAAATTAAAACAAGCAATTATTTGCAGCTATGAAAATTTCGTTTTAACACATAAGGGCATGAAGGCAGCACCTTACAGCTCAGATCACCATCACTTTTTATAACAAATGACACAGACACAAAAGAGGAAAGAAGGCCATGATTTCTGAATTACAGACTTCCCCAAAATGTCCCACTGACTGCATGCTAAGTTAGGCTTTTCCTACAGACTGGTGAATACATGGTAATGGGCCAATGTGGTCCACAGATCAGTACTAAGAACCACGGTTCAAACTTGTCCCCATGTATCCTGACTAAACAAAATGACTCCCTTTTATACCCATGACAATTACTACCAAGAAAGGAGGCGAAATATCCCTCCAAAACCACCACAGTGCCAGCTTCAAGATGAGAAGCCTGTCTTCTCCAGCAGCTCCTGGCTTCTCTCTCTAGTGTACCCTCCAAGGACAGGGGCATCAAGGAGCCTCCTTGGTTCACCTGAGTTCATACTGTCCAAACTGAAACAAGTGCCACAAGTTTCTGAAAGCCGAAGTCTAATCAGGATCATTTAGATCATTAATGCTCCCCCATAATTAAGTCAATTTCTGATTAGAATTGTTATTTCAACACAGCTGGGTGGAACAAGGTTCAACTGTGGTATCTTAATAGCAACTGAGTTCCAATGACGAAAGAACGGGAGAGCACTTTGTTCTTCATACACAGAGGGGCTGCTCTTGGCTCCAGGATCATCAGGGAAGTTTTGAGTTAATCCCATAGGAGAACAGTTGAGCTGGCTTCACACTCCTTCTTGCCAATAGTGTCTAAGGGCAGGCTTGGTTTGAAATAAGAATATGGTGTCGTGTGAGAACACGGCAAAAATATCAACCTCACACAGTATACAACATATTTACACTTCATAACCATTGCTTTTTCATGTTCCTATGAAATAGGTAGTAGGATTCCTGTTTGGTAGACAAAGTAAGTGAGGATCTGACAGCTTGATCACTCAATAATCAATAAATATTGAGTGCCTCCTCTGTGGAGGGATTGCATGAGCTCCTGTGACTTGCCCATGGTGACACAGTTGACAAATAGTAAAGACCCAAACCCAGTCACCAAACTCATGCCCATTCCACTCTGCAGCTGCCCCTCAGAGGTCTGAGTCACCATACATCATCACAGGACATCCGAGACAAAGGGCCATGGTGGGACGGACTCCGGGGTCTTGTCTTGTTAGTTTTCACCTCTTCAAGTAAAGTCAGTATTGATGATCAAAATACCCGCAAGCCACAGGAACAACTCAAAGTAACCTAGGGTCATGTTAGTTACAGTGCTGTCCATGGTATATCATTCAGAAATGGCAGCGGGGGACTCATGAACCCTCACAACCAATAGGAAAAGCAGAAACACCCCCAACAACGCATTCATTGTTGTTGAGTTAAACCAAAGTAGAGAAACTGTGGCAAAAAGAGAGTTGGATTCTAAAGTTTTGAGAATTTCCAAAAGTAATCAAACAGCAAAATTTGAAAGATACTACTCCTTAGACTAATGTCTGGGAGATCTCCAGATTCCCTTCAGCTGCTTCACAAGTCTGGAACCTATTCCTCAAGTATCATCCTCTGGTTATGGCATGCAACCCATATCAGACATTTTGAAAACAATTTCTGCCATCCACTCTTGGCTGGCTGGCTCCAATGACCAACCTGCTCACAGTTACATCAGAGAAGTGGCCAGTCATACTCTAAACGCCTATCCCTATCCCAAGAATTCCAAATCTTCATGAATGGGTCAATCCTTTGCTTGCAATCACAAGGAGGTGGGGCCAGGAGTTACTAGTCACGTAACTGGGGCCAGACTTGAGGAGGTGCTTGATCAATAGATGAGTCAGACAGACCAGGCTAAGAGTATAAAACCTCAGGAGCCCCAGTGTTCCTCACATCACCATCATCTCCTTCCCTCACTCACCTCCCCTGGTGCTTCGGGTAAGTGTGGGCTCTCCTGGCTCTCTGGTCTCTCCAGCTGGCCTTGCTCAGCTTGCAGAGGTTAAGGGACAGGACCCCTCTCCCCCTTTGGAAGCTACTACATTGATATTGAGAAGGGGTTTAGGAATGCACTGGGAGAATGGTAAGATGCTGCTGGGCTGGTGATGTTTCTTGGTCTTCTAGCCAGAACCTTGAACTCTGCCAAGAGAGTACTGCCTCTTACAGAGGCTCTGAGGGCTAGAACATGGAAAGGCTCTGCAGTGGATGCCCAAGGCATCCTGCCGTGGACTGGATGAACCTTATGAACCTGTCAGGAGAGGCTGAACACACTATCAGAGAGTGGGGAGGATAAGTCATAGAATGATGCTAATGGGAGATTTTGGAGGAGCCATCTAAACCCAAGCCCTGCTTTATGGAGGCAGATGTTCTGACAGATAAATGACTTGTGAGATCCTGGGCTACCAGTTCCTACTAGCTGCAGTTCTCTATCAAACTTAGACTCCTGCATATCCTCAAAAAGATGCCTGCTATCTTCTGGTCAGATGTGCTGGTCCAAGCCGTTCAGTACCCTTCCCTCTTTCTGCAGGCAGAACCACAGGAGAGCTGCTTTGTCTAATAATTGGCCCTTGGAACATATCTTCACTCAGTAGGACAGATCAAGAGTTTGAACTGAGGGCTATTGCAGAAAATGAGTCCTATAGTCCACTAATGTCCAAACAAATCTTTCCTCTTGGTGTGCTGGGAATGGGTAAAACCCAGGTGGAGATTTAATGCAATTTTCCATTGAACTTAGAATCAGGACTGGGACTTGGGAGCACCCTAAGGGAAGGAGTGTTCCTTGATAGAAGATAAGAAGTAGACAGGAATGTGGGGTGCTCTGACCTCCAAATCACACAGCAGAAGTCAGGCAAAGTTGAGGGGAAAGGGAGGCACCGCTAATGGAACTTTTGTCCTAGCAAGAACTCTCCAGCCCCTGAATGAAATTCAGAAGCCTGGTCTGCTTCTGAGTGTCAGAAGGAGGCTGCCATGGATGCAGCTGATTCCTTCACAGCATCCTCTTGCTGCTGGTCCAATGATGCTCTTCTGCTCTTCCTCCAGGGTTCTCCTTCTCCTTAAACAAGATGTCTCACCAGAAAAAGCAGCCCACTCCCTGTCCTCCCGTGGGTTGTGGAAAGACCTCCGGTGGAGGAGGCGGTGGCGGCGGCGGTGGTGGCGGCGGCGGAGGCTGTGGCTACTATAGCGGTGGCAGCGGTGGCGGCTCCAGCTGTGGAGGTGGCTCATCTGGAGGCGGCTCCAGCTGCGGAGGCGGAGGCGGTGGCTCCTACGGAGGCGGTTCCAGCTGTGGCGGAGGAGGTGGCTCCGGTGGGGGCGTCAAGTACTCCGGAGGCGGTGGCTCCAGCTGCGGCGGCGGCGGCTACTCCGGGGGCGGCGGTGGCTCCAGCTGCGGCGGCGGCTACTCCGGGGGCGGCGGTGGCTCCAGCTGCGGCG